TTTTTTTTTTTTTTTGTTATAGAAGTATCAAATTCTTCAAAGCTAGATCAAATCTAATCATTGTTTGATTTAGGATTTCTGTAAAATAAAATATGTTAGAAAGACTTTCTATTTTTAATACTTTCTGATAACTTCTCGAATTTTGTTAATAACTATCAATAATATGTGTAATATTAATAAAATACATACGTGAATATAAGCATAGTAGAATAATCCAATTGCAATAAGAAGTCCTATCACGTTTATAAAATCCCATCCATTCCACATATAAAATGGAGTGTCAAACGTGACTGCTCTTTTACAAACACCCATTCTTTTTAAGACTTTACTTCTGACATACAATATTTCATTTAACCTAATGGTTGTAAAATCTTACTATGCATCTTAGTTTTCTAAACTTGTCAATTTTGAATCGGTCGAAAGAGGGAGATTCACGTTAGGGGATGCATTCGAATGGCATATCTTATAACTATGTTTCTTGCTACAAGGAATGAAGAATTTTAGTGAACTGGATTTAATAAGTTATAGACAGATATTAGACAGACATTTATAAAAATATGAAGGTATATAGATATGAAATGTCGATTATTTTGATAGGAACCGAATGGCATCTAATCGTTAATAATTTTTAACATGGCGCTGATCATGGTGGCTGTGGGAAGATTACAGCCTAAAAATGTGTCGGTCGTGGTAGTTTATTAGTGTATTAAATTTTTCTGAAACGAACTTGATAATTCAGTGAAGATGATAATTTAATTAGGAAAATTAATTGCTCATTTTAGCTACTTTTAATGGAATATGTTATTTTATCTTCCTTGTGTTGTTGAGGTTATACATTGTCATTCTACGTACAATAGAATCATAAATACAAATTAAAATCAAGCAATGACGAGTATATATGGACGCAGGGCAAATGCTCTTATAAATTTAACAGTTTAACTGCATTCGACGTGTATACACGTCAATCCAAAAGTTTATTTCGGTGCGGTTGACGTGTATACTCGTCGTGTAAGATAAAAAACTATCATTTACTTTAAAAACTTCAAATTTTAGTACGTAATAATAGTAAGTAATAAAAATGTCATTTGGTATGTTTCTTTTGTATTACCAATAAAACTGTTATGTATTTACTTTATAAAAAAAAGTTTGATTCTCTTTGATAAAGTATACAAAACAATTCGGATACTACTAGATGTCAAATAATCAATTCAGTTTGTAAAAAGCAATACATTAAACGGGGAATATCCGATATATCAAAGTAAAATTCGTATGACAGAAACAACTAACAATATTACTTAAATAGGAGAAATTATGTGTAATCTTCTAACATTGGCTATGGAGACTAAAGTAACTAGTAAGACCAGCAGTTTGAAAGCTCTTTTGCTACGGGCATGGAGAGAACGCTGGAGTGATTTACAATGGGGTATCAATATTAAAACTGTAAGTAGTTTCACTGTGGAAATATTTATTTATATCTTTTAAGAATTCGTTATAAATTTTATCATTTTTAGATTCTACCAAGAGGTGTTAGTGGAGATGTATATAATTTAGCAGATTGTATATTACAACAGGCACTAGTAGGACTTGGACCAAATCAATTAGTACTTTCATATTTGAAACATTCTTTAAGTTCTCAGGTATGTATAATTGATCAATATTTTATTATTGACATTTAAAGGAATATTTATATATTATAAATTTTCAGTTGGTTTCTTATGCTGCTGTATTGCAACGGATAAGCAAATATGATGCCTTTCACAAGCCTCATTGTATTCTAAGTCTCCTAGAATTTTTAGAATCTATTCAAGTAGGAATAACATGTCGTGGTAAACCTGAGGAAGATCTCTTGGCTGCTGCAGTATTATCCATAGTGCATTGGTTGTTACAATGTTATTTACACACTTTGACAAAAATGCCACAGAATAGTCCATTAACTCCACAGCCAACAGAATTGATGGACAAACCTGCCAGTATATTGAAACAGATGCTCAGCTCTGATTTTCTCTGTGCTATGATGTATTTAGCAAAATATGACGACAAAGACTTGTACATAGAAGTAGTAAAAAAGTGTCAAGAGATTGAAGCACTATTAAAAACTAGTAGCCTCAAGTCTTCTGTTCCAATAGAGGAATCTTTGAAAAAATTGTGCAATTTGGAAGTTGATTGTCTAACACTGTCGCCCGAGATGTCACAGATGGAATCTATAACTCATTGTCTACAACCTTTATTCGCAGTTCAGGTATTACAGAATCCTAGTACAGAGACGTCTGTATTTGTTAATCAAATGTTGATGGTCCAAAGACTTAAAAATTATACAAATGCGAGATTATACTGTGAGATAATTCGTGCGTGTTTAATGTGTTTGCACAATGTTACCAGTACGTTCAAAGAATCACAATGGGGTGCTTTCACGTTTCTAAAAGTGCCTCTTATTTTGAAAGAATTACATGCGGTGCACACAAACGGGGACGATAAATTAGAATACTCGCAAGATATTTTAGACGCATTTGAATTATTATTACAATTTACTCCGCTCTTGGATATAGTGGACACTGCATGCTCCTGCAACAGCGTAGAGTGTTTGTTAAACGCATTGCAGAAAGTCAATTTAGTCACAGAAAAACAAACTAAACAATTAAGTAGCAGAAGAGAAGGTGTTACTGCGACGTTACAAAAATTAGAATCCTCCACGTCCACGTCTTCGATTCCTAAAGTGATCGTACGCGCAGAGCCAACTTTATCTGGAATTTTGAAAACTCTCAATGCCGATTACACAAAAATTCACGAGGCTTTACTTAGTATGTTGTATCAAGTTCTGACTGGAAAGAGTTTTGAACTAATGTTGGCGGTAGCTACCGTGGAGGGGAAGTTAAAAACTTTTGTTACCAAATTAATCAAGTTCAATGAATGTAGCAAGCAAATCAATGAACCTGTGCCAGCAAAGACTGCAGCAACTAGGGCGATGTTGTTTGATATATCATTCCTTATGTTGTGTTCTATAGTACAAACTTATGGGTCCGATGTAAGCTTAAATTATTATATTATATGCTTAACAACATTTTTTTTTTTTTATAAATTAATGAATGATATCTTTTATTTAGGCCGTTTTAGAAGAAGGAGAAGGAGACTCTTTTTTTGAACAATGGGTCCGTGAGTGCATGCCCGAACGAAATCAACCAAAGTCACCTCAAAAAATGTTGCAAAATGTCGATCCTGCAAGAGTAGATGCATTATTAGCACAAATCAATTCTCCGGACTCTGATTTGAAATCTAGCAATATAAAGTGGCATATCGCGTGCCAATCGGCTATGGGAGCTGTGAAAGAGCTTCTTTGTGCATGGGAGAGTGACGTACTTGGAGCCAGTGACGTTAAAAGAGCTCTAGATGGTTTACGTACTACTGCATGTTGTTTACCTGTTTGTGCAGCAGCCTGGCTTTGTGCATACATGAGTATTACACATCAAGATGCACTTTTAAAACCTCTGAACATGGTTCAACATTTCTTAACACCACTTCCTGGAGATGAAGTCCAGGACAATCTTAAGGAACGGTTGGTATAAAAATGAGTAATTTCTACGGATATTCACAATGCTATTAAATTAAAATTGAAGATTGAATTTTAGATCAAGTTTGATGTCTCAAATCATTCGTAAAATGCAGTACGATGTTCATCCTCCTACACAATCGAAAACGAAGGTGCTTTCGATGTCTCATAGGTATCATGTTAAAGTTTCTTTAATTATTGTTACTCTTATGGTTTTATTATTTATTTTATGTTACACTTGTGTATTTTTATTTTTACTAGCATTATATCAAGACAACCTATATTGGAACAATTAGAAAATGAATGGGGAAATATAAATCAGCGAGGATGGATAAATATTCAAGCAACGCAGTCTTTGGAATCTTTGTTAAATACCGGTGGTTCCTTATGGTTCGTCACGAATATCGTAAAAGAGGTGTTAAAGTATCGTTATCAGGAAGAGTTGGACCAAGCAGTAGATTTAGCGTTTTCCATTTTTCATCTCGACATCGAGAATTGTACTTTAGATCTCATCAATCATATCATTCCACAATATTTATATAACTCATTACAGTAAGCATTACTTACTTCTACGACAATTTCCGATTTTTATTTATAGCTTTCAGTAGTCTTAGTGATTTTAAATAAATTTCTTACAGGAGCGAAGAACTCGTAGAACCACAATCCTCAGTGTTAGCGAAGTTATGTGTGTACTGTATATTTTCTACGTTAGAATATAATAATTCGAATCCATCCCGTGGGAACAGCAGGAAACGAGTACGTCGAGATCTGGATGCGGAAGAACTCGATGCTCTTGGTGTACCAGCAAATAAAATTTTGCGACTGAACGAGACAGGAGATTCGAATCCTATCTTCGGCTCGCAAAGTCCGCAAGCTCAAGGACCTACCAATGGCCAAAAATCAGTTGTGCTAAGGGACCCTCTTCTGTCAGCATTAAATGGATTGTTCACGATATTCACTTTTCTAGCTGGTAGAGATGGTGAAGTATCTCAACAGACTCATTTTATACTTCAATTTTTACGTCTGATGGTACAATGTGGAAAAGATAGGACACGTATCGTGTTGCAAGGAATGCCACAAACATTGGTAAATTTCCACATGTTCATTTTATGAGAATGACTAACTTTATAGAACTGAAATTTTAATTTTTTTTTGTTTTTGTTTATTTAAGGTACCTTGTCTTCTAAAGGCATTGCCCGAATTGTTCACTACTGATATTCTGTTAAGATTTTACGATATACAAACGGTAGTTGGGCGCAAAGCAACTGCGCGTGACTTGTGTATGTTGAGAAATATCAATCTCAAGCCCTCAAAGTAAGTGGATAAATGTTTGATTTATCAATGAAAAAAATATAAACGATACTGAGGTATCGAGTATATAATTATTTTGAAATATACTAATTTAATAACGAATTTGAGTCAAGCTTATAATTATTGTAATATATTTCCTGCTTATAATTATTAGGATATAAAAAATTAGTCACAGAATTGAGAAAAAGTAATTATTTTAGATAGTTTATTTCTCTCTGTTCCTTTTTCGTTCTTTAAACTTATAAACACTTTCTGACAAATTACTATAAATTACTCTTACACTTAAAAAATAGTATGTACAGTAAATGATACAGATGGAATATTCTCGGGACGAGAATTTTTACACGATATAAACATGTGTGTCATACAAGAGAATAAATTCATTGAAGTAAATCGATCGAATCATTCCGAGTGGACCGCGAATACACACTTTACAGATACGTAATTCTTTATATTTCTGCATAATATTTACACGACTTATAATATTCCTTGAGACTGAAATTACACGGAAACGAAATTTAAGAAAAAAAAGAGAAGAAAAAAATGATACAAATATAGAAGTATAGAGAATATCAATGATTGTAGCTGTTTCTCGCAATTAAAATCTAAGTTAGTACAAATAATAATACAAGTTCTGCACAAGTTATGAGAATCATCCACATCCATCAATTTCTCCATATCCATTCGGAATTGGAAGCACAAATAGTTCTTGAGAAAACGCAATTACAACCATGGATGCCAAGAAGGATCCATTCGGCATAAGTTATCATGACTGTTGGCTGCAGCGACCAGGGTGCTAACTTTACTGTCGGTTACATCGAAATTCGCCAAGGAATTCAGCCTTCCAACGATCGCGTTCACTGCACGAGTGACCATCGTTATCAGAAGTTCACCTTTCATGTCTGTCGGAGCTTGTGACGAATTCTCAGCATCCTCTTGTTTCTTGTTATGATCTGCGATTACTTCATCTCGCAAAATTGCACGAAGAATCGTATGCACTTTGAAAGATGGTTGTACTAAGCAACGAGCTGTGGCAATCGCACTTGCAGTTAGAGGCCCGGAGACGCCTAATTAAAAATGACTTTTTTAAATATTTTCACATATACGAATGTATTCATATTGTACCTTGCTTCAGGTACACTGAAATCGAATACATTTAAATATTCATATGTACAATAAAGTAATATAAATTACACGAACCTGTACTGGTAAGGAATTCCAGAATATTCGGTGTTAATCGGAAAGGAACTGGCCTGTTGGCATCCAGCTCACCGGATGTGTCATCAACATCGAACTTGAAGTAAGCAATGTTAATCAGACCTGAATCCTGGTGCACGTACATCATATCTGGATTCAATCTTGTCAGATGAAGCACGTACTCTGCGAAACAGCTCAAAGATAGTTGCAGAGTGAACTGTAAAAAGAAACGAAATATGTATAATAATAATATGTGAAATAATACAATATTGCTCTTTCCAATTCCAATAGAATTGTTTTGCAAAAGATAAATAATTCAGCCTCATTGCTTCTCTTAGCAAAGAGACTTAGCATTTAAATCTTTATACAAATAAACCTATTGGAGAAGATAGTGAATAAATGAGAGATGTTGTCAAGAGACAAAGAAAAAATAAAATTAGTATATCTCCCATGAGAATTACAATCTATTGGAATTTGTGGATTATATATATAATAAAATTAAATTTCTATTGATTGGAATGTGACATTACTATTTTCCTGAAGGTCCAATAATCAGTTGCGCCAGGGAACGTCTTCACGGCCCAGTCTCTGAGCATCGTCTTGGCGACCATCGTCGTCTGCACTTCTTTGAGTATGTCCCTTAAAACTTGATGACTAGCCTGTGCACCCCTGGCTTGTACCGTGGCCAATCTGTCGTAATACCTAGCTATTGGCGCATCGTGTTCTATACCTAATTTCGCACAGCCTTGTTTGTAAATGTCTAGCAAAGAGACGGAAGCAGGATTATCCTCAACCAATCGCATCTGCGGTGAAACAGCTACTACACGAGGAACGGTGAAATGCAAGAACCTTCTAGAGGTCTCCTTTTGTTTAGCCAAATAATGATTTAGCATTCGTAACAATTGAAGAACACGTTCTTCGCGTCTTGCATCGCCTAATCCAGCATCGTTGACGACCAGATATGGATACAAACGTCCGTTGTGTCCACGAATTCGTAATCTTCTAGCTGCTGTATTATGTCGTTGAACAACTTCGACTCTTGGCATGAATCTCGCTATTCTTACGTAGTAATGCGAGTGTTTGGGTAAGAGAAATTCGCCTGGTAATTCCACTTCGGCTGTTTTTAGACTAAAGTTGCTAAGAAAGCGACACTTCTCTTCGATTAAGAAGGATCTGTTTGATATTAAATATTAGTAAGTTTATATCCATCTTGAAATAGAGGTAGAAGTTAAACTGCATAATAAGTTCATTCATACTTGAAATAGAAAATTTTTATTATTTTTTGCAAATACATTATTTTCTATTTATCATTTCAAAGTTTGTATTTCTATTAAGAAATTCCAATATAGTACTTTCTTTCTGAATTTTCTAATTTTTTATATTCTGAATTATATTTTCAAACATACATTTCTGCATCTGTAAATGTCTCATAAATGCATAAACATCAATAGTTTACATTCATAATAAATACAAGTAACTTTTATATATGCCTTAAGATTGAAAGAACTTCTTATGCAACCTATAAATTTTCAAGAAATGGTACTTACTTTGGTAACTGCTTCGTTTTTCCTTCAAGAATCTTGATCCACTTTTTCAGCTTGCTGATCAGGTTGTGAAGTAATCTTGCTCCAGGTACAGTGAAGTCAAAGTCGCTCTTGAATTGACCCTTCATCTTCTGGAAAACAGGATCTTGGACGGTAGCCTGAGCCCTGCGTGCCAGAGACTCTGAAGCCGCCGAGCCGAACGTGTTGTTCACATTTTGAGAGGAAGATATATTTTCTGGGATTAAAAAAAATCTTTGCTTAACCGATTCTAATATTTAGATAATCGTAAAGGCTCAGTGCTGCAACTTACCAATTCCTATACCGAAAGTCGAGACCAGCTTTTTTACAAAGTTCAACGTGTGAGGAGTTATGGTTGCTTCACTTACAGCGCCACGATTTTCAAATGCTATTGCGTAACACTTGGCCAGACCTTGTCTCAGCTGTCTCAGGACTTCTTCGTACCAAGTTTCTCGGAACCAGACCATCTGAAACGTAAGAATTTAGTCAGATTATACATATCTTTAGTTTATTAACAAGATATAACTGGCTATCTAGTTTTGAGCTTTTGCAGTTTTGAATTAACAGAATATGATTTAAAATGAATAGAAAAAGTATATAAAGATATTATATTAAATATATGATAATTGGTAAATATATATACATAATATATAATTTAACAACAATTTGTTGTATCAGTAAAAGTAATTATAATGTTAAAGAATCAAAGAAAAACCCTGCATATCATGTAATAACGAATAAACTAGTAAATAATCAATTAGTAATTAATTAAATTAAATTTGGTAAAACTCGTCAGTGCATCAAGGGATATACGAGTCGTTCAGAAGTTATATTAATTCATAATTAAAAGTAAAAAAAGATGATATTTATAAAGATTATTTTTAAAATATTACCTTGCCATTCACAATTATTTGAGCTATTTTCTTGCAATTAATAAAGTCACAATAATAAGTCTTTTATTTCTTGAGATAATAATAATTATGTAAGTCTTGAATTTGATTTCTGAGAGACTCATATAGAAAGATACAGAAGAAAGTTAAAATATTTATATAACTAACTTGGTCCACGATGCCTTCTAAGCTAGACAAAATAGTAGGATGAATATCTCTCTGCATATGCATGATCTTCGAACACCTCCACATGGGCGGTGTGGCTCGAATTGGTCCCGTTTCAGGTACTCCTTGTTGCTGTACATTCCCTGCAGCTCCACGACCTTCCACGCCTTCTTGATTCTTTCCAGCGGCCAATTCTGCGCTCTTATACCTCTCGCGTTGTTCAATCTTCAACGTGAGGTACAAAGTTCTGATGGAGAAGTACACAGCTTGCGGGAACATCCTTCCAACTTGGCTCAATAAATTCAGAATCACGTTTCCTTCGTGTCTAACCAAACACATCAGCAACTGAGGTATCCAAGGTAACCATTGAATCGGTGGAACGCCTACAGCATATTTCTCCACGGCTTCCATCAGAGAGGACTTATCGTCGTCATAGGTGAGTAGCCACAGAACCTTTGCCAAGTATTTCCTAGACTTAGATTCATTCTGGTGTCTGCAGGCATGAAGGAAGCAAGTGATGGCCGAAATCCCAATGGAAATCTGGCGTGCGTCGCGCGTAAAGATGTGCTCCAAATAATCACCCCATAAAGCCCACGCCTTCACCAGTGTATCATGCAATTGGACAGCAGCTGAGAACGCTTTATTTGCGTCGTCTGATCTGCCTATCTGCGATAACAGCATTCCTTTCAGTGCATAAAATTCCGCGGTCATTTCCTTGGTGAAGTAACGCAGATTCGTAGATTCAATGACTTCTAGACCGTCTTGCAACTCGTTTTTACCGCTGACCGATGCCTTTTGTAAATAACACTTCACTTGCTGTCTGATTTTCTGGAAACAGTCGACGATAGGCACGCTGGGTATCGTGTAAATCTTCGACAAGGACTCCAAACACACGCCGCACAGATTATGCTTCCTGGCTATTTTACCAAAATGAATAATTGCCTGGACGGACGCGTGGACACCGAGCATCGAGTGATTGTTCGTTTGGTCTTGCTGCGAATCGTAATGACTCGAGATGAACGTATAATGGTGCTGACGCCAGGTGAAAATATCTGACCAGTGACTTAAATCGTCGGCTATCACAGGCAATCGGTTCCTCCATGTTTTCACGATGGCTTTCATGTCGTGCAATGACGTACTTCTACCGTGTAACAGTCCTTGATGTATCTGCATCGCTTCTTGAAGCTCCATGATCTGTTGCGCCGCTTGCAGCAAGGGTAGATGCACATGGCTCACGATGTGAGGTAATCGACGCCATTCGCGCATACATAAACCAGATGCCAATTCCACGTATCGTTCTACTGCGTTTAGATGTTGATCTTCACTATTGCATATCGCTAGGAAACCTCGGTACAGATTCACCTGTAAAAATTTAAGTTTTGAAAATCATTGTATTCTGAATAAGTTAATTATTGTCCAATAAATATATCATACTATAATTATAAATATTTAATACTTTATCATATTGTATAGTATATTCTGCAAATTTTTGCATCTTCATATGATCTAAAATTGCATAAAAATCTTTCGTCTAATAATTAACAGACATAGTTAATATTACTATACATACTTAATATAACTACCGGTAATATAATTACCAGATGTAATTTTGTTTCATGTATATTTTTAATGGTGTCAATCTTTATAAATGATCAACTTATAAATGTTAAATCCTCAACTATTAGGAAAAATGATCTGATATCTCAATGTATAAATATAATAAAGAATATAACTTTACCTTCCAAGCCATCTCCTTTGGACAATTATGTTCCACCTGTGCAAGGGCTTCCTTCATCATATTCCAATTAGGGATACGCCAAGAGCTCTCAAGAATCAAGAAAGGATTTTTCTCTGCCTTCTTACTACCATAATCTAATAACAAGTCCCACTGATTCAGTTCTTTTGCGCACCTTATCCAATGTTGTTCCCAGAGCATTGCTTCTCGTTG